AACTTAACAATGATTCCGAATGCCGTTCTCAATTACCACTCAACTAATCAAGACTGGTAACAGATAAGGTATATTAGTATGATATATATGTACGATAAAATACTTGCGTGTGCCTGACAAATAACTTCTGTGAACTTTTACATTTTACAATAATGCAACCAAATGGATGAATTGCTACAGTTGATCAATTAATGATGGTATATTGTGTGTATGTACTACGCAATTCGGTTGATAAATAATTGATATTTTCTGTATTTTGCATACCATAATAATATCCAGTGTTATTCGTTGTTTGGGTAAAATAAAATTGGTTAGGTAAAGTATTAATAATTGTGAGTGAGAAAAAGAAACTATATACGAACCTTTGAATGAAAAAAATCAGAACCAGACGTTATGTGAAGTGGGGTTAAGTCGAGTTCTGTTGTCCGTGTAATGTGTAAATAAAACAAACTACTTGCTGTGATAAAAATAATAGGCATTATAGATTTATAGATATACCTAATATATCATATTATTAATATAAGTTATTATTATCACTCAATTAATCTATGTAATAATTCATCAAGCATTTTAGTTCTCATTTTTCTTTCAATAATGAATTTACCATGTGGCATGTACTATAATAGTTTTAAAATATTGATTTTTGGAAATTTTAAATAGTTAGGGATATACTAAAAGATCCTTTTTTTCAAATATTTAGATATTTTCATATAATATAGTGTCCAGTGATGATACCAACTTATTTTATTCAAATTAGAATCCTTTTGAATTTATTTAAATTGAAAATTAAATTATTTTTTTTAAATGGCGATGCACGTACCTATCTATAAATTGAAATTCAAACGAGTATAGTATTTGAGTTTTTAACTTTGAATACTAACGAGAATAAGTTTAAAAGATATGATCATGATGAATTATGATGATTTGAAAATTATAACAATTAATATTAATATACCATGCAGTATGGTGTAATTTGTAAAAAATGTATGAAGATTGGTAGGTATCTAATAAATATTAGATTTAATAAAAATATTTTTAGGTTTTCCTAATCATAAAACAAACTAGCAAAATGTTGCAGCAAACCTGGAAATTAAAGATTGAGTATATTTTTTTGCTCCCGAAGAAGGCGACAGTCACAAAAACAATTGTTTGTAGTTATGAAAAAATATAATCATTTAGTAAATACCTTATGGCTATTAATAATAATAATACAAATTACAAAGTTTCATTATACGATAAACAATAAACATTTTGTGAAATTCAAAATAGAGAATGTTTTGGAAAATTATTTTGGTTGATGAATTTTAGGCACTTGATAAATGTTGTTATAATATGCAATTTTCGAATCTTATAAATTAAACGAAATTTTGATTAAAACACAATTGATATAGGTATCAATGGAACATAAGAATTATAATAAATCGGCATTATTAATAATAATTAAAACAATATATTAAACAAAATTATTATGGTTGGAATAGGAATATTGTTAACATTATTAAATCTTCTTTATTTTATTGAGAACGTGTATTCAACATAGCTGATACGATGTTATAGGATGTCATCATTACCTGGAATTAATAATTTATTATTTTTAATTTATTCTTATTTGTATTATTACATATTGTAGTATGATATTAAAATATATTACGCTATTAAATAATTGTAGGTTAATAATTTTTTTTTGTGTTGTTTTAATCTTTAATTTATTGGCATTGTGCATCCGCATGGAAAACAACAACAATTTTTTTGTTTTTATATTCATCGCTGTCCAATTACAACTATACATCCCGAGTTGGACGGATTCTATCTGCAGGAAAAGAAATGCACCGTTAAACAAACTCAATTAGATTTTAATCATATTAATCTTACTTTATTGTTAATACGTTCCATTAAATAGCATAGGAAAAATAAAACGAAAAACATGTATGCAAATGCTGATATCAACTTGACTATACTAAAAATTGGTATAATTTCTGTTGAAGTGAAAATCTGTTAACACAATAATTATTCATTGGTACATAATACATATATAATTGATATTATACACATATAGGTGGATCTAGGGTGTTAAGAACTAAGGCAATATAAGACACTCGCATGACCCGTGTTAACATTTATATTTGTTCGGTATGAAATTATATCATTTATAAGCAATAATAGAATCGTTACATCCCATATAAAATAACCCTTGATCCACCGATTATCGTAAATTTTTATTTAAACTATTAAATTTGTACTACCACAACAGACGCATATGTTAAAATGATTATAGACCCCGAATTTATTACAACAGTTGATACAATTATAAGCTTATATGTAGAATAAAATAATTTTAACTTCCTAAAAAATAAAAATAAATTAATTAATAATTAAATTAAAAATCATCAAATTAATTTTAAGATTTTAACATCATGATTTTCATRAAATAAAATAAATTTCTTATTCTAACACTGATATAAATATAAATAGATATACTAACGCGTAATGTTTTTGTTGGTCCATCAGAATCGATATTAAATCATCATAACTGTCGTTCACATTATAACATTTTTTGTTTTCTAAAAATAGGTATCCAATTTAAATTCGTTAGTCGATTATATTCATCATTCACCGTGTAAAAAAATTGCCCACACGTGGTTCTACTGCAGCCACTCAGGCTCATGGTGGAATAAATAATTATACTTTCTATTGACTTACTATTATTATTTTTGGAGCTCAGTTCAGAGTTGACACTTTCGTAAGCTCGTTTGATTATCTCATATTGAGCTATTATGACATAGCAGACAGAAATAAAGAAGACATCAATCACTACGTATACGTATAACATAAATATTGCAATAAATGACTCCATGATATAAAATATAAAATAATAATTATTATATTGATCAATGGTCACCGGGAACCGAAAGTTAAAAATATTCTCAAAACGTCGATTTGAATCTTCTGCGTTGTTTTTTGGAAACAAACGAAGCACTAGAGGAAACAAGATCCATTCAAGGGTGGTCACGATTCCAAAGCCACTTATGAAATTCGTAATTTTTATTGATTTGTTGCGATGTTTAAGGAGAATCCCAATATGTGTTTGACACTGTGTACTCGTCAAAAAATGTATACGAGTGACACGAAGTAAATCCCAAACGTTATTTGCTTTGTATAAAAATGTGATTATTTTAAGCAAACTTAGAGAATAAAGTAAGTAACAGAACAATATTTGAATGTGAAAAATGTGAAAAACGCTGTCGATAACATCCTCCATTTCAATAAAATAACCCATTAATCCGTAAATAATTATACAACCAATGACACAATTTATGATGTACCAAACTAGATGGTAAACATTGAAGTTGCAAAGTTTTTTACTATTTGGATCAAATAGATGATAAAAACGAAACAGCTTAAATAGTTTCAAATTTATGGCAACTTCGTTTGCTTCCAATGAGTTCATTTTATCAATATTTGTACAAATTCGATCTAAAAATTAAAATAAATAAATTAAATATTTTGTAGTTACTATTAAAATTAATGAGTTACTTATTAAATATATAAAGCAAGTATAGRTATTAAGTATAACACGGTGATTAAAATAGTGTAGATTACGAAAGCATGAAACGCGTACACGCCGTACCTGCAGGGTATATACGACATACGTTTTACTAAGTTAGAAATGAAAATAAATTACTCCATGTCAATCTGGTGTGACCATTTCATAAAATATGTTTGTACTTCACTAAGTTTGAAAAATGACATGTCTGAATATACCTACCTATTAGGAAATTATTTGATATTTATGTCATTGGTAATGTAGTATTTATAATGGAAGAATATAAATTAAATTGAAACAGGAACACTTAAAATGTTTAATTTTACCAACTATAGGTACTAAGTAATAATTTATATACTTACTTATTTATAATAATTACTACACTACAAGAAATAATTTCAGACTTAATTCAACCAAATTATTATAAAATATATTTRAGATAAATTTGATAAATATTTAATATAGAATGATTAAATTTATATTACAGAAATTATCTACCTGTCTAACGTTTAACGTACCTACTAATTATACAATATAAAAATTTWAAGTATTATATTTTGAGCAAGGTGTAATTTCTTGTTTTAAAGGCTTTTGAGAAATTTCCGTCACAACTTAAACACTCGTTTTATATCAATGAACTCGAAATTTGGTACACTAATTTCCCAAGATGATTGTTTAGATCGGAAATTATCTAATATACAATAGCATACTACACTCCTTTTGTTCGCCTGAATCCGTTAGTGTGAATATGTTATCAGGTATTTAAAATTAAATATAGGTTAAATGTTATAGTGAATATAATATGATAATATTGTAATTTACTATTATACTTGTTTTACTTGTATATTTGATAAAAAAAAAAAATTATGTAAAGTAAACGTACCTTATTTACCAAATGATTTCCTATAGACTAAAATAATTAATAATATTATAAACTCAATATATATATGTAAGCTTAAATGATATTTTCAACTATTTTTGACGRTAAAAGTACGTAATTTAAGGATCGTACAATGATCGTCGATAATTTYCTGGAATAGTTTATAATGTTTATATAAGTATCTTGTTCACTGTTCAGTATCTATACCGAAACTAAAATATATATTTTCAAGTTTATTACATGCTACCTATTGGTAAATGATTATATTAAAAATTTCGTTATTGATACAACGTGTGGAAAAAAGAATGCTATATTGTATAATATCATATATTTAAAAACTAAAATAGGCACAAGGATTAAAATATTAATATCTGTATGGTGCGTGTTTATCGTGAAACAGTGGTGAGAAAATTGAACAGTTGTTAACACCTTAATACCCAGTAMCTATAATATATTTAATAAAAAACTGACCTAATATTATGGTACAATTAGTAATTCAATATGAAATTTGTGTGAAAAACATTCGTTCTTCGAATATCAATAAATAATAATATAATATTACAATATGACATTATACTCATGTCTGTTAAAATTATACACCTTATAATATACCCTTTACAAACCATATTTAATAACAACATAAAAACAAAATTAAAACGACTTAATAACATCAAATTTATTCATACATATTTTTAAATACCATATTACGTTATTATGCTTTATAATTTATTAATAGTTTTACAAAAAGTTATAATAATTTTTTACTATARAAGAATATATTTTTATTTTTATAAGATGTTTTTAATAAACATAATGTTTGTACATATTGGTGTTATAGTAGAGAAATACTGTTAAAACTGTTAAAAGAATTAATTTTCTAACAAATTACTTTTACGAGACAAAAATTTATATAAGATTAAACTCGATGATAAACTGTAACTTTCAAACACTTGATTTGGTACCATATAATACTTAATACTTGACGTTAAAATATTATTAAAAATACAATTGATATATACATGGTTATTATAAAAAAAATTCTACAGTTTGCGAAATATCAGTCAACAGATTATAATACATTATTTTATCGTATGATATTGTATATGATATTGTACTGTAAATTTATCAGGGGCGGATCCAGCCCGAGATTATGGGAGGGGRGTTAAAATATAATATGTGGGCAAGCGCGCATATATAATCATAAGATACCTATGCAAATTGATAATTGTCGACTACCCGTCGACCACGACACTCAACGTGTTAATTGTTTATAATTAGTTTTTGCAGTCACATTTTGGATCAAATAATTATCTGTTTGAAATCCCCWATAAAGAATTGTTATATTTTTATAGATTAAAATATGATCATCCTAAGTCTCACAATCTTGTCCCCGTAAAWGATCGAAAAACAATATTTTTTATAAACTGACTAGAACTATTTTAAATTTAAATGGTAAGTTAGTATGTTGATCTTCTATTAACAATACAACAACTATCAATCTTARTTTCCTTACTTTTTCTTCACATGGAACAAATAGGTCATTACAGGAGATTAGTTCAATGACTTCTTTATAAGATAAAGATAAAAATTCTTCGCATTTAGCTACATATCTGTAAACAATAAACATGTTTATAACATTGTTTATACAATAAAATAACATATTCAGAAAACTAAGTTAAATATTTCATACAAAAACTYTTTTTTAATGTATGCTTCAGATATGGACAACAATTCCGTACAGTTATGTAAATCAGCAAATGCTTTGATACCAAGACAATTTGAAGGATGCAATCGTGTTTGCATGAACTTAGTGCATGCACCGTTTACGTAGTCCAACTGTAAGAGGTTTGCAGCTGGTAACAGACTCTAAATAAGTCAACAATTATGCAC